TTATATCGCATGGCGGGGGGCGATTCAGAACCTGAGCAAGGGCCAAGTTGCTCTTTTTCTGTTGCTGTTGTCTTAGTATGTCTCAGTGAGTCGTTCCCTTAGTCGAGCATCCCCCGCTTCATGGTGCGTGGATGCGTCGTGCGTTGCGTGGATTGCGTGGATGCGTGAGCGTGGTCACCAGAGCGTGGTAGCGGGTGAGGTGGGAAGCAGATGGTAGAGGCGCGTGCGAGCTCACCGAGAGACAGTCGCGCCTTACTACGGAGGAAGGTGTGTCTCTGAGGCGAGACAAGGGCTGGCAGAGAGACAGGATCAATGGGAATCGAGTGATATCGTATCGTGGCCGGTGAGAGGCAAACGAGGAAGATCCTTGCAGGTATAGCGGTCTCAGCCGCTGAGTCTCTCTATTGGTGGCACCGGGAAGCCGGGATGGGACGGGTGCTCCAGGTGCTTCGAAGTAGGGATAGCGTCAGTGCTGGGACGGCTAGGAAGCATGTGCGCAAGTGCGCCAGTGCGATGTCCTGTAGCGTCCAGGGTGACAGGCGTCGATGGGGGCTAGTTGATGGCCTAGAGCAGGACGGTGTTGTCCGAAATCTAGACATCAGACGATGGGCGGTCGATGAGCAGCGTCGTTGGCCTGGTTTTGGCACACAAGACGACAAGACGGCAGGGGAGGTAATCCGTCAGCGAGTCGCACAAAGGCGAAAGAGTACCAGAGGAAATAAGCCCCGAGGCGAGAGCCAGAGGTGCTGTAAAAGTCGAGAGCCAGGACCAAAACGGAGGGGGATGTGGTTGAAGGGGGACCAGGTATACCCTCAAACCCTGAGATGAGATTGTCTGGTTGGGTTAAGCTGTCGTAGATAAAAGTAAGTATGCCAATGCCAATGCCAATACCAGTGCTTGTGGGCTGCTGCCTTCATGCATCCGACGGTATGGATTGTCACCCTCCATGCTGCTGTGGTTTGTTGAAAAGGGAACCAGGGGGGTTTGGACTGGCAGAGGGTGCGCCGAGGTTGGACTTGGGCACGCATATGGTTGCTGGAACCGAGTCCGGGGCTTCCCAAGGCGATTGAGTCCTTGTTCGCTCAGGTACCTACCTAGGCAGCTGGCGGGCGTAGAGAGAGATGGGCGAACAGGCAGAGGGCGGGGGCAAGGCCTGGCGGATGTGCAGCAGTTACAGGTCCTGTGTGCAGACCATGCCAAGTACGGCCAGAGCAGCGAGCGAGTGACAGCGACGTGGTGCGAGACAAAATCCAGGTTGAAGTTGATGTACCGTCTTTGCGGTGACAGCGGGTAAGCGAAGGGGGGAAACGCTAGGGTTGGCCCATCGGACGCCGGGTGGTGATCAGTGATGTGAGGCGGTGGAGATGGCTCAACGCAGCAGGCTGCTTGCGGTTGTAGGGAAGGTGGGGCCTTGCGATTCATGGAGCCCAGCATCCCGTCCCTATCCGTGCTGTGGTCTGTCAGTATCCTGGTCTCGGGGGATCAGCCCAGCAAGAATCCCATTCTCAACCCCTCTCCCCTCCTCTCTCCTCGCGATGGCCCTTTCCCTGGTCGAACGCGGGAGCCCTTCAGCAGGTGCATGATGGCGACCATGACAGGAAGTCACGTCTGTCCGTCCCCCATCCTTGCAGAAGGTGGTACTGTAGGTACGGTAGGGTCAAGAAGGGACGGGCAAGAGGCAGGGTGCGCATCCAAAAGTCCAATGCATCACATTTTGGTTGACAAGGCAGGGACAGCCCTGGCCAATGCCAAGATGGCAAGGTGGGCCCCTGGAGGACCATCATGCAGGGGCGAACTCTATGTCAGGGGAAGTGCACCACGGTAGGTATGTGCTAATGCTCCAGGCACCTGTGCTCTTGCAGTGCTTTCCCTTTTCCAATGACTGGGGAACAAGCTACCACCACTACGGCAGCAGCATCAGGAGGAGTAGGGGTGGCAGCCGCAGTTGCTGCAGCAGTTGCTGCAGCAGTCGCGACAGTGGTATGATCTTGTAACTCTTCTAGGCAATGGCAGGCAGCAGCCGCAGGCTCTCGAGACCGAGAAGGAGGAAAAAGCAAGTGTGATGACCCGGCAGCCACACAATGACGAGGTGGACGGATGACCTAGCTCATGACGATTTCGTGCCACCACTTGCCAATGAGCGGGAGAAATGGCGACCCTGGCTCTCGCACGCTCTGGTGTCGCTTGAGCCAAGGACAACAGGGCGAGGAAGGTGCGTGTGTGTGTGTGGCCAGTGATCAACGGTTGGTGACTGTAATGGTGGTCGTCGGCGGAGACGTCGTCGTGTTCCGTGTTGGTGGTGTTCCAGCGCCTTCAGCCCGGAGCCGGTCGCATGCCCGAGCAACGAGACCTTGAGTTCAAGGCGAGCTGCGTACTTGGTACTATGTACTGTACGTAGGTCCCTGTGGCAGGGGCAGAAAGGTATGTATACAGGTACCTCGAGGTACTGACTGCTATAAGCAAGGGAGTTCGATTGGGTGCTGCAGAGGATCCGAGTACCTGGAATGTGCGGCCAGCTGCCTTTGCCGGCTCGCTCGCCTGTTCGCCTGGCGCGTGCCACATTGATGCTGTCGGGCTGAATCATCCGACCAAGCCCCGCCTCCCCCCCCCCCCTCTCTACAGTACACACCATCCGAGGCAAGGTAGTTATGGTGTTGACGGCGCCTGGTAGGTTAGAGAGAGAGAGAGCGAGAGAAAGAGGGTGAAGCACCTCTGCATCACGACAGCTCACGAATGTTCTCGTTCTGGTTGGTACTCCCTACCAACTTGGGCACTCGTTCCCCGCTTCGTGCGGACTTGGCTCTCCTCTTGACCCCCCTAGTGATTAACTGGCCAGGCACTTTACCCACAGGTAGGTAGGTACTTAAGGTCAGGTAGGCATAATACATGTACATCTGATCAAGTTTACCCCGACTTTCAAGGTCCTGGGTCCCATCGGCCAACTCCCGCCCGCCCGTGTTCATCTGTCCGTCATCCAGGACGGGAGCGCTATGTAGGACCCATGCCCCTTTGAAGGCTGTCTCTGAGAAGCTTAAACCCTCCTTTCTCCGTTTTGGAGACCGGCCCCTCGCTGACCGGCAATATGCAGCAACGTGCGTCGTCTCGCGTCCTTTTGGTATGCTCGGCGCGTCCGCGGTTGAGACATTTCTGAGGCCAGCGTCCATTTCCGTTGTTCCGATGTGAAGCAAACACACGTATGGCGAGGGAGACAGACTCGGAAATGCTCATCACTTTCCGTCTTGGGCACAATGGTGCTCTCATATGTCCACCGCCAACTGCAACCTGGTGGCTCTTCGGTTACGCTCCTCCACCATGGTGATCACTGGAAGCGCGCTAGGCGAGCCTCATCACCATTCGAACGACGAGGATTTCAATGATCAGACCACCTGGTTTCACATCCACCCATGCAGCGAATTTTGCAACATGGTTGGAGACGGGCCGGGTGGCCACCTGCGTAAGATGTCCTGATACCATACTACCCTCCACGGCCGAGCGATGGAACCGATGCCGCCTCAACAATGGCATTCTCATCCTCTCCAGTCACCCCCGCTGTTTTGCAGCGTCACGTACTATGTATGATCATGGATGACTTTGGTCCGGCCGCCGACAGATCCAAGAAGATACAAAAGCAAGCAGTGACCGCGCATGCATTGTGTTGACCGACTCGGATCAGTGCCGAGCCAGCGCTGACCCAAGTAAGCTCAACGAGCCATGGCGCCTGTGTTTCCGCTGATGTCTCCCCACCGGTCCTGCAAGCAACCGATGCTCTGTCTTGGCTATGCTCCTGATCGCCACCAACCAAAAAGTAGCCCTCCCTCTACCAAGCGGCCGGCTGCATCGCAGTGCGCCAGCGCGACGTTGGGACCGGACCTTGAAGGGCGACCGTCCGGATGGGTACGGCTCGTGCATTGCATCCATGGTTCTCTTGCACTCCTATCAAAAAGGGAAACAAACATATCCATGCATGGACCCTGGGTCAAATGAAGCCAGACTCCCATGTCCGCCGGCCCGCGTCAGAGCAAGTTATTCGGGGCATCTACTCCGGACCACTGCCGGCTAATGTTCCTGAACATTGCCTGTCAGGTTAACACCCATGCTCTCGCCCTGAACAACATCCTGAACACCGTCCTGCATATCGCCGAGTTCGAATCAACCGTTGACGAATGTCAACAGAAGTTGCCCGCCCACGCTCGCTGGCTTCGTATGGCAATGACCCGAGAATGAAATAGGCAACTGGCCTCGGTCGCAAGCAGTGCTCATTGGCGATTCGAAGTACATACCTAACCTGGGGAGTGGCAGCCTGCGTGTTGGCAGTGCAGCACGCACCCCATAGCCAGCGTCCGTCGTCCCGTGTCTGACTGGCAAACTTCCAACTACCGATTCGTCGTCTGGGTTTCGGAGGGTTGCAGCAGGGACAGCGCAGCGCCTCTGACAGGTCGTGGCATCGGCTCGGTGGGTGCCAACATGAAATCGTGCTCACCGCGCGGCAGGGCGTCGTCGCTCGCTCCGACCGTCGGCACTCACCGCGGGCCAACAACATCGTTAGGCACGGCGGATGGGCGCATTCGGAATGGCAGGCATACAGTTCAATGTACGGGGAAAAGTAGCAGGGACACTGATGGGAAGAGGTACAAACAGCTGTTGACCAGTCCACCGAACCAGCCGTTATCGGCTGTTGAGTGCATGTGTTGGGCGGTTCCATCATGCTTAGCTCATCATTGATGACATGGACGTCCTGTGAGTCGCTGTGGTGTTGTACCTATGTTAAGGTAAGTGCCTAGGTACCTTACGAATAGTCCAGGACAAAGGTTGATTGGCAACAGCATGCCTTTCCCATCTCCCTTGCTGTACCTGATTCGCCGCGTTTCCTGATCAAGGTACCTTCTTTTCTTTCAACCAGCAATACGAGATGGAAAAACCATGATTTGACCAACAATTTGTACGAGTCAAGCCAGGCAATTTCCCTGAATAAGGCAAGGCGGTGTGACGAGAGGGCATATCGATTGGGGTTAGACCCCCACCGTGACGTGGGGGCCTCACATGTTCTGGCTGCTGCCATTCTATCACCGGTCAAAGCCTAGGCAAGAGTGTGCCAGGTACAGGCAGGCGCGGGCAGGCACGGGCAGGCAAAAGGTAGGCGAGGACCGATGTCGCTGCCCTTCTACTGGTTTCTGCCTTCCCCACGAGCGGGCTGGGCTCAACATCTGGTGGGGCGAATAGTCTAATTCTTCACGTCCATGCTCCATCGAGCTTGGGACGAGTTCCCGAGCTGAACGGTCCGAAGGGAGGAAACGCGTCTCCAGCCTCCATCCAAATTGACCTCCATTCATCAGCTTGACCTGGACACAAGTGAGCGCTCTTGATAAAAGCACTTTGTTCCATCCACGCGAACCTCTCATACCAGGCTTCAGCGTTGAATGATACCCCTGGTCTCGTGACCCAATTCCGTTTCTGGGCTCACGATCGCTTCATCTGCTTGTTTCGGCCGACCCAAAGAAAACAAACACCCGTCAAACACGTACGTCCCCTACCTTGCGCTGCCCCGAGACCCCTGGCAGCGAGTCAGACTCTCCTTCCAGCCTCGTGCATCCGTGCTTACCATCCATCCACAGTCGGAACATTCAGAGGTCGACCTGTGGTCATCATACATCGCGAGGAGACTTTTCCCCATCATGTCGACCATTGACATCACCAAGGACCTCGCCGCTCTCTTTAGCATCCAGGCCAAGGCGACCCCTGATGCAGTGGCCCTTGAGGATGAGGCCCGCACCTTGACCTATGCTGAGCTGGACCGTGAGACACAGGCTCTCGCTGACCACCTCCGCCGCCAGCATGGCGTCGGTCGGGATTCGCTCGTCGGTGTGCTCATGAACAGGAGCGCAGACTACGTCGTCGCCTCGCTGGCTGCGCTTCGTGCCGGAGGTGCCTTCCTGGTACTCGAGCTGGCCTATCCGTCGGGCCTGCTGCGCGACGTCATCGAGGACGCCAAGCCGTCCGTAGTCATCACACAAGCCGCCCATGTCGGCTTCATCAAGGCCGATGTTCCCATCATCGTCATTGATGAGTCAAACGATCACCTGAAGAATGGTGTCGGTGCCGGCAGCGAAGATCAGCTGGCTCCTCTGCCAGCCGAGGACGATCTAGAACGCCTTGCCTTCGTATCATATTCCTCCGGTACTACTGGCCAGCCGAAGGGCATCGCGAACCCCCACAGGGCGGCGGTTCGCTCTTATGACCTGAGATTCAAGCTCAGCGACCTCGGCCCCGGCGACCGAGTGGCCTGTAATGTCTTTTTTGTTTGGGAGATGCTTCGCCCCTTGCTACGGGGCGCCACGGTCGTCGCCATTCCCGATGCTGCGAGCTATGACCCAACGGCACTCGTCGGCCTGTTGGCGTCACGTCGCATCACTGACACATTGATGACCCCGACCCTGCTGGCGACGGTCCTCTCGCGTCACCCAGAGCTGGGAAAGCGTCTGCCCGATCTGCGCTCTCTCTGGCTGAATGGCGAGGTTGTGACTACCGATCTCTGCCGCCGTGCTCTGGATGCCTTGCCCAACACAAGGCTTCTCAATGTGTACAGCGCCAGCGAGACGCACGAGGTCGCGGCCGGCGACATCCGGACTTTCATTGATCTCGAGGCTCGCGTCTGCCCTGTTGGGCCGACGATGGACCCCAGCCACATCTACATCCTCGACGAAGCCGGCAACAGAGTGAAGAATAACGTCAGCGGAGAGCTGTACGTTGGCGGTGACCTCCTAGCAAGAGGCTACCTGAACCTGCCGGAAACAACAGCAAAGGCCTTCACCCCTGACCCCTTCGACAAGAGGGAGGGAGCGCGCATGTACAAGACGGGCGATCTTGCTCGCGTACTTCCTTCAGGCCTGCTGGAGATCACGGGTCGCGCTGGCGGCATGATCAAGACGCGTGGATACACGGTGCAGCCTGGTGCGGTCGAGAACGCCATTGTCAAGCATCTCGCCGTGCGTGACTGCGCTGTCACGTCTCACGGCGATGGTCTTGAGAGGCAATTGGTTGCCTACATTGTTCCCGACAATCAAGAAAAGAGAGATCGTGCCGACATTGTCATCGACGAGTCCGGGTATAGCCCCGGAGCTCGCCGCACTCTCTCGGCGCATCTGGCTCTGTACATGATCCCCGCGCTCTGGGTCCAGCTTGATCAGCTCCCTACTCACGGCGTCTCGGGCAAGACGGATCTCAAGGCTCTGCCCCCACCACCAACCCCGAAAGTTGCCAGCAGCCCCAAGGAGGACCAAAATACCAAGATCAAGATGGAGACCATCATCAAGCTATGGGCGGCTTCTCTCAACATGCCTGCCAGCGCCATCTCCGAGGATCTTGACTTTTTCGACATTGGCGGCCATTCTCTCATCCTTGCTGATCTCGCCAATCGCTTCACCAAGGAGTTTGGTTTCCCAGTCCCATTGGCTCCTCTCGCTGGCACGCCCACACTGCAAGGTCACCTCGACGCTATCCGCGATGCTCGTGATGGACACACGGCGGCTGTGCAAGGTGACCTGCCCGCTGTCCTGCGCGCGGACTGTATCCTGCCGGAAGACATCAAGTCCCACGGTCAGCCCATGCGCCAGCTCAATGATGCCGACACTGTCCTCCTCACAGGTGCTACGGGCTACTTAGGAGCATCCCTGCTCAAGGGCCTGATCGAGAACACCTCTGCACACATTCTCTGTCTCGTGCGCTTCACTGAACCCTCCAGTGATTCTCGTCCTGCTGGCATGGCCAGAGTGCGAAAGAACCTCATTGACCTTGGTTTCTGGGACGATTCGATGCTCGACCGCATGGAAATCCTACCCGGCAACTTGTCCCGCAAGCGCCTCGGTCTGTCCACAGAGGCTTTCACAGAACTTGCCTCTCGGGTGCAGGTCATTATCCACGCTGCTGCTACCGTCAACCTTGTGTACCCCTACGCTGCGCTGAGGAATGCCAATGTGGGAGGCACCAGGGAAATCTTGAGGTTGGCGTCCAAAAGCGGTGCCACCCTCCATCACGTTTCCACCAATGGCGTCTTGACCCCTTCTGTTGAGGGCTGGTCTGAAAACGCCATGGTGGACATTGACGATGTGCCCGATAAGCTCCTTGACGGCTATGGTCAGACCAAATGGGTGGCCGAGAAATTGGTGTACGAGGCTGCTCGTCGTGGCATGCCATGCAAGGTCTACCGCCCGGGTACCATCAGCGGCCACAGTGTCACGGGCTCCACCAACACGTACGACTTGCTGAATGCCTTGATCGTCGAATCGCTGCATGTCGGCTGTGCGCCCAATGTAGAGGGCTGGTTTGCTGAAATGACGCCTGTGGACTTTGTCAGTGCGGCCATCATCACGCTCGCGAATCACACCGACTCCAAGCAACTGGTCTACCACCTTGGCGATCCCAACCCCGTGTCGGCTAGTGGCATCTTCCACAGCTTGACAGAGCTTGGTTATTCGACCTCGCGCCTGCCCTGGGATGACTGGGTATCCCTCTGGAACGAGAAGCGGGGCTCCGGCCGAGCAGGCGACATTCCTTTCACGGCCGAGATTCTGCGTGGTGGCATGCCCACCGCCGAGGCCCTGCAGTCGGTCACAGTGCTCAAGGACGATGCGACGCAGCCCATCCTGGCTAAGTACGGCCTCCGGCGCCCCAAGATTGACAGCACCCTTCTCGAGACGTATATGCGTCACTTCTACGCACGAGGCTGGCTCTCTCGACCACCTCGTCGCAAGCAGGCCAACGGAACCTTGGGCAAGATTAACAAGGGTCGGCTCGCTGGCAAGGTTGCCGTCGTCATGGGCGCATCCTCCGGCATAGGCGCCGCAGTCGGTGCGGGCCTGGCCAAGGAGGGTGCACACGTTGCGCTCGCTGCTCGACGCATGGACGCACTCGAGGCAGTCAAGGCCAAGATCACCACCGCCGGCACGGGCGGTAAGGTTCTGATTCAAAAGGCAGACATTACCAGCAAGGCTGAGGTCGAGTCCCTCATGCAGAATGTCTCCAAGACACTCGGCCCTATCGACATACTCGTCAGCTGCGCTGGTGTCATGTACTTCACCATGATGGCCAACAACAAGACAGATGAGTGGGAGCGTACCGTTGACGTCAACTGCAAGGGTCTCCTGCACTGCCTGTCGTCTGTCGTTCCCGGTATGCTGAGCCGCGGTGCTGGTCACATTGTCGCCATTTCTTCGGATGCAGGCCGCAAG